CGGAGCGAAGCACCGACCCGTCCTCGGCACCGCCGCGCCCCCGACACGCGGGCGGCGGAGAGAGCCCCGAGCGGTCCGCACGTCGCGGGGAGTGCCGCGCCCGGTATAACTGTATTTTCAATTTACAAACTTACAAATCACAATAGTTACACCTACAGGAGGTGTTGGCGATTTTGTGGTTGGAAAAGGGGTCTGGGACAACCTCCTGCCGCCAGGTGATATATTAGGATTGCAGATTTTTGTCTCTAGTCTTTGGACTTCGAGCACGACCTTCCAGCAGATGTTCCCACCCAACGCAGTGAAGTTCCTAATCAACTCATCCAAATAATTTTATTTGCCAACTCCTTCTGCATATCTGACCTGTGCATTCCACAGACGGCCCTGCCATATTTTTTCCAAGTTACAAATTAGGAGATTTTTATGTTCTGTACTTGGTATATCCACCTGAACCTGGGAAAGTATGACTCAGAATCACAGAAGGGTTTGGGTTGGAAGGGGCCTTAAAACCCACCCAGTGCCACCCCCTGCCCTGGGCAGGGCCACCTCCCCCCAGCCCAGGTTGCTCCAAGCCCCGTCCAACCTGGCCTTGAACACCTCCAGGGATGGGGCAGCCACAGCTTCTCGGGGCAACCTGCCCCAGGGGATCACCACCCCCACAGGAGAGAATTTCTTCCTGGTATCTAGTCTAAACCTCCCCTCTACTCCACTCAGGACAGACTATGCACTGGTACTGCTAGACAATAATTCAAGAGTCTTTACTTTGGATTTCTGGTTTGGTTTAACCAGAAGTTAAACCAACTTGGTTGGTATAACCAGAAGCTAAATCAATCAATCAATCAATCAGTCAATCACACAAACAAACAAAACCAGTTCAGAAATTAACTGCCCTTCTCAGTTGCCGATTCCTAACCCAAATCTTCCAGATTTCAGTCACTCATCTGAATTCCTTCTGCCCTCTGCCAGATTTAACCCCTGCTCAGGACATCTGTCTGCTCAGCCCATGATTTGATTTACCTTAGCAATTTTTGGTGTCCTGCCTATAATTCTTCTGTTATCCAGCATCAGCCCCTAAAGGATTATACTCTGCCTTCATAACACTTTCCATCTGAGGAGCACAAAAGGTCTGAAAATATTGTAACTCTGAAGTGAGAAATAACGTGGTCCCAGTTAGAGATAGGAATACCAAAGTGAGGAGAAACTTATGTATGCTGCAGAATAAATTAACCAATGTGATACTCCATGCCGCTAGTTAGGCCATTTCTAGGCCTTGAACTGGAAGGTTTAGGAGTGCAGACAGACCTGGGTGGCGTAGTGAAGGGTGCGGATCACGAGCACAACAGCACTCCCACTGCATTAGAAATTCTGATTTCAAGACATCCTCTCCTGTTTTCCAGACTGCCATACCCTGCCATAGAATATATTATAATTTGCAAACGAGAAACTGATTGGGTAACCGAACTCCCTTCCTAGTAAGAATGGAATGTATTTTAGCACTTCCATTATCATGGTCTGTTTTGCTTATGATTTCTCTTTCATGCAGTTATTGACCCATCATTTTTTACTCTCCATTTAGTTTGTGATTTCTGGTCTGAGGGATACTTTGTGCTGACAGATCATCTCTGAATTACAGTAAGACTCAGGGATTTTTGTATTTTGAAAGAGAACCGGGGAACTGTGTTTTGAGACCATGTAGTAAATAACATGTTTTCCTGCTGTCTCCAGTCCAGCGGAGTAAACCTGGATGTTCTGGAAGAAGACACTCCCTTTAAAGCCACCGTAAATAAAACAGAGGTTCACAGAATATTCTTCCTAGGAATTCTGCTCAGAAAGGTTCCAAACTCACCTCTCATTTTGCAGCCACAATGAAAGGCTATCAGCTTTGGAAGACTGGAGCTAGTATTTGAAAGTGGGTGGGACCTCTAATTAGTTCACAAACTATCAAAATAAGCTTTTACAAAGACCAATTCTTTCATGGGAATAGGATAAAGATTACATCCGTCAGGATCTCCATCTTATTTATTTACCAAGATATGTAAGGAATCTCTATCTCTCTACAAATATCAAAGTTTGGTGGATCAATATTAAGTTTTTTGCAGGAAACTGACATCTTCCTCTCTTCATATTTAAGATCAAGTGTCTCCAAGAAAATAGATTAATTCAGTCTACTCTTCTCTTGGCCAACAGTCCACCTTTGCTGTTTAGGGTGATACATCCTTCAGACCAAGAAACTCCCAATGCATACCCGTATGCGGGTAAATTTATAGATAGGTGCTGTCTCCTACCAGCAGGCTAATTGACCAATTAGCCTCACCACAGTTAGTGCATTAGCTAAATGGAATTTAGAGAAAGATACAAGCTTTACTTGTTACTATGGTTCTAAAGAACATATACACCATATAATAAAGCACTTTGGTGGACATCTTTCTCCGGAAAATAGTATGGGAGTGAATCCTAGGTGGGACAGCCAATCTTTGATTTTTAATCTTTCTCATCCAAATGTATCTGCATTATGTTTGGATAATTTCTTTCAGCCAGAAATCAGAAAACCTTTGGTTTACCTTGAAGAAACATGTACATATATGCATGTGCCTATTTTAAGAACACACTACAGTAAGAGACTGTGAAATCATAAACTAAAGGTGATTAGAAAATAAGTTTAGAAGTGAAATAAATGAATACAAATCTTGAAAAACAAGTATAAAAATCAAGAGAGATGGTAAAAGAGAAATAAGATGGAAGAGACAACACGGATGAAAAAGGGAGAAAAAAAAAACCCTGAACATCTCTATGTATAATGAGTGAACTACTCCAGGAGTCTTGACAATTGGCCCAGGATGGCAGCTTCTTTCCTTGTGCCGTGAGAGCATCATCAGTAGGATAGTGCAAGAGAAACACACAACTCGCATGGCAAGGAACAAGAACAAAGCAAAGTCAAACTGAACCAGCAGGTAATATGAAGACATTATCTACCTAATGGGAACGTGCAAATTTGTAGAGGGATTTGCTCAAAAGTAGACAAGTACAATCCAGCTTCAAAACTGTGATGTTCTCCACCGCCACAAAGCTGGTGGGACCCATCTTGTGAAGCCCTTTCCTTAGCAGCCATCCAGTGCACTCAGGGATCCTACGGTATGCCAGGCAGAAGAGAGACATACCATTTGAGCACGTGAACACCCGGTGTTAGATACAACCATTTAAAAATAGCCCAAGCACGAGTTCAGAAAATCAACAAAGTTGTGGAATACTTTATCAACATTCCAAAGGGGGGGGAGAAGAAAGGTCTATGCAAAGGCTACTTCCACCAGGTTGTGTAAAGGATGTTAGCTCCCCAGCTATCCTTGAAATAATAACAGATATAGCTGTCAGAGAGATCGACACCTAGCAATGCTGCCCATAACCTCACAATGAAACTGGGGAAATAAATCCAGATATTATCTTCCACTATTGAGATGAAGTTTTCCGTTCATTCTCTCCTGATAGGGAAGACTGGTGTCATAAGCTAGAAACTGTAATACATGCTTTTAAAATCTCAGAATGCTTTCATGAGTTCCCTTACTTTTTCCTCAGTGCCCACATCTCCCAAGGCATTTGTACTTCTCACAGAAAATGACAGAGCTGCACAGATCCAAACGGTTGATACAAGCTGCCAAACCAATATGTAACATAAAAGTACATCTGATTTATGTGTAGTCAAGTATTACAGCAATGAGCAATTCATAAATTCATTAAGTACTCTTGCATTTCATTTTCTGAGGGTAAAAAAAGCCTTTAAAAGATCACTGTTTTTTACGTCCTCGCTTCCCAGTGAAACAAAACTGACCTGAGAAATGCCTGTTCGCTTGCTATTTACTCTCCACCTTACCAGCTTTGAAGCTTAACAGCAGCCAGTTCAGTACAAGCAAAATGTTTCAAATATATTTAAATTCCTCTACCTGTTGTGAATCTGCTCGAAGGATAAAAGCTCCTGCTGTTTCCGAGTGGCTGGTCAAGCAGTTGTAATTCTAGTCTACAGATCATTTCTATGTGGATAGAACCTCCTATATCTTGCACAGAGTAAATGTTATTGCAAACATGAAGCAGAAGAGTAATTAAAGGAAGATACAAAGCTCTACAGAAGTGAACTTTAGAGAAAGGCTGCATGATTTTTTCCATAAATATTATTTTGTTAGAGCAAAGTGTACACGTTGAAGAAGAGGACCTTCACTCACTGTTCTTAAGTGTGAGATATTGTCAACCCCTGAAGGATACAAAAGTGGTAACTGGAATAATAGACCAAGTACGTTAATTACAGAAATATCGACCTTCTCCCCCTCCCCCCACCCTGTTTAGATTTTGCCCTCAGCTCACATTTCTCACGAGTGTTTTTCTGGTTGGTTTTGGTTTTCTGAAGCACAGAGTTGGGCTAAAGTTAAGGGAGGGGGAAAGCCGCCTCTCCCCGCACTGCTCGGGTTCGATGTTGCCCCGCTTTGGGG